TGTTTTTTTATTTGAAAATATAAAAATTATGGGATGAGCCACTTTTGAGACGCACCCGGTATAATAAAGACAGTACCGAGTTAAATAAATGTAGTTTTTATTTTATCCACTTCCTATCACCTTCCTTGCTTTAATGGAACAGATATTATGTTTTCCCTAATTTACATAATAAGACATTACTTAGCCAGAAAAAAATTACAACAATCATATTTTTTTTCTCTCCCTGTCGCCGATTCTATTATATCTGTGGAATAGATCCTGTTTTGATTAATATTAGGGGTTGTAAATGTTTGACTAAAATTAATAATTTATTATTAATTTCAAAAATTACCTAATTTCGATTATAAAATTTCTTCTATAACGTGTATTTTATTATTTTTATCCTTTTTGGACTCTAAATTGTTTTTTCTAAACTTTTAAAAAACCTGTCCTAAATCTTAATAAAATATAAAAAGTTTAAATAAGATATATTTTAATTTAATTATAGCTTCATTAAAATAAAAAATTACCCGGCTATGATACGGAGAGTTCAGGTGTACTTGAGAAACGAAAGACAGTGTTGTGTTTCTCGGCAGAGTCGTCAGGGAACGACCGTTACGACAGAGACAACCTATCTATCGCTCGTGTCGCACTCGTTATAACCTAAAACAATAACACAACAATAACAAGACAGTGTCTGACCGCATGTTCCAGCTATTTATGAATGAGATGCTCAGTCTATATTTTATGTTAAGTCTATGGTCAATACACTAAAAAATACGGAACGGATATGGAATGGAAACGGAAGCTACAGTACTTTTTGTACTACTACCATACTTTTTGTTGTACAATTTATATCATTACGAAAGTTTTATTTTAAAGATTTGTATCTTTTGAAAAAGGCAATAGATTTAATTCAGAGATGAAAGAATATATATCAGCAAAATTTTAATAGAGCTGCTACAAATGTAAGAACTTGACAACGCTGTTTCCGATACGCTTCAGTCCGTCCACCAAAAAAATTTATGGAAGGAAATGATATGGAACGGAAGGGAAACGGAACGGATAGTGTGCATTGTCCTATTCATGTACATGATATAATATTTTATGTAAATGGAAGGGAGCTGATATAGAAAGTATAATGAGAATCAACCTTAATGCGGACACAACTTAGTTTGTACGTTTTATCTGCAACGTACCTATTGTCAATACAAGCAAACCGTACGATATGTCGTTACGTGTAGATCCCGCTTAAAGGATACCTTGTTGGGGATGGTTTGGAGGGGTTGGGGGTACAGGGATGATGTTTTACCGCGTTATGTTTTCGTTATATCCATGTACATACGTATATGTTTATGACACCGTGGGAAAACCCGATGTGTTTTTATTTAAACGAGTAATATAATTAGGGAAATGAATGGTATAGGTATTATTGTTGTTAAGGGTGGATTAATTTGCTATGGGTGTGTGGTGGAATTTTAATTCAATTAGTTAAAAGAGTGATATTGAGACACGTTATGTTAGTGTCATTTTAGGTGAGGAAAGTAAAACAAATTAATTAAATAATGAATAGGAACGCCATAATCTTGGTCCATCAGAGCCAGTACTGGAAACACCCATAGTATGAGAGAGATATGTGACTTATTTCAGATACATTAAGTATTTGAAATACAGATATAAAGAGTGTCCCAAAAATAAGTATTTTAACTGGTAGTAAAGTTCAACCCCAGAAACACGCCCATGAGGTTTTTTTCACGAAAAAAAAAATTGAAAATTCGAAATTTTTTGAACAATGTTTTGAAAATTTTTTTAGTTTTTATTTAGAAAACATAATTTCTTGATAATATGGCAACATAGGTATTAGATTAAATTTACAAGAAAGAAAATCCAGAAAAGATCTAGTGGTTAGATCAAATTTTTTTTTTTGGAAATTTTCAAAGTAAAACAACTCGTTAGTTTTGACTTATTTGAAAAACGAGAAAGAGAAAATATGTTTCTTTTATCGAGATCTACCACCCCATAAAATACTTGCACTTATTTCTGGGACACCCTGTATAAGATACAAAATAGATACGTTTTTCATCTTATATTCGAAATACTTTTTTTAGTTTCATATTGTATCTTGTATTTTGATACATACGTTTTTTTAGTATCTTAGTATTTTATAAATACTTAGTTTGCTAAAATTCTTTTACTAATTATTACCTACAGTTCATACCAAATAAACTTTTAGTCACGTCATTAAGCTTCACCGGCACAGCGTTGCCAACTTTTATACAGGGTTGTTCACCACATACGACACGGAGTATTGTAGCTAAACGATTAGATTTTTACAAATTGTATGTTTTGGGTTTTTTGAAGGTCTATTAGAGCTACAATTTAAAAATATTTTTACAATATACAGAGTGTCCCAAATAAATAAAAAAATATTATAGTTGTATTTTTTTAAATGGAACACCCTGTATATTATTCTATTTTTGGATAGAGGTTCTAAAAAGAATAATGTTCGACTGCAGGAAGTTTAAAGGTATCACAACACTATTTATTTAAACCAAAAACTCGTAATCCAACACTAAAGTGTCAAAACGAATGACAGTGTCAAAAAATAAATAAATACAGCTGAGCTACCACCTGAATCTCTCTCAAAAAGTATTTTAATAAAAGTATTTAGAAAATACATCACCCCTAAAATTATTTACACTTATTTAAGAACCACCCTGTATAGTTTGTCCCCTACACATCCCACATCACTACCGCATAGTACGGTATAAAAATAAAAACAGACAAAACCTGAACAATGAAATAAACTTTATTTTTTTGTACTTCGGCATGCTGATAAATCGGGAAATGGACGATGGGGAGAATTCTCGAAAGGAGAGGAAATGAGAAAATGCCGACAAAAAAGGAATTTTTATAAAAAAATACCAAGCGAAGGAAAATGAAGAAAGAATAGAGATGTGGAAGTGAAATTTTCGCGTATTTTCTCAAACGAATTTTTGACATCCAACGATTCAACAACATAAATATACAATTTCTTGTTTTTAGAGATACACTATGCTCTGTTTTTTTTGTTCTCAGGTAAGATTTTGCCAGACGATGACAGTAAAATCACTTTTAGCACACATATACTATTTTTTCTACACTATTTTTTTATTATATTATTTTATTTTTATTATATTTTTACACTATTTTTTCTACAAACAAGTTTATGCTCGTATATATCAAGGTATTATTACTTTTTACGTTAATGAATAATTCATAATATGTCATTCTGAAATCAAATTAATTATGAAGTTTATGGTTGCTAGCGTAACAATTATCGCTTCAGTGTTAAAAGTAAATCACGTGACTTACTTTTAGCACCAGTGCCTTTGAATAAGAAGACTAGGGAAGGAGCATATCAAAAATCTTAGGTACACCGCGATGGGCCTCAAATATGGCCGACTTAAATTCCGGTTTATCAGTGCCGTTCTAATTTTATTTAAAAAATGGTAAACTATGATGTCAATCATAAAACTATGATGTCAATCATAAAACTATGATCTCAATAATGTCTTATTTTATTTTACGTTGTGAATAAATGTTGGTAGTTATTAAAATTGTTATAAAAATATATAATTCTAATAAAAATAGATAAGTTATAATAAGTATTTATTACCACAAACATCCGATACGCTACTGAAGCAGGTAAGTCAAATTAACGTATCAAAATTCTTTGACATCTGATCTTTGACAAGTAGTAAATAAAAGCTAAAATGCAAGAAAATATATAATTTAGTTAATTTAAGTGAATTTCATAAATGATCGTTTTACTACACGTATGTATATTATATAGTCACTTACTAGCGAAAAGTTGTTCCATTATTTCACTCAATTTTTGCCGAGATCTACCGCACGCTACACAACCAACTATTTTAGAGTCTTTTTCGATAAATCGCGATAATGTCACTGTTAATTTAAGTTCTACCACAATTTCCATCTAGATTTACTACCTTTATACAACTATCAGTAGTAGAATAAATAATAAATAACATAAAATAAGCTCCGTAAAGACTGACAAATCCACAAAATTTCAAATCAAATTCAAATGTGTCAAATGAATCGTCAAACAGAACTGTCAAGGATCCCCACCCTAGAGAGCTTTTTCCGCCCACCATGCACGAATACATGGATAGCATTATGCTCTTTCCTTAGTCTTCTTATTCAAAGACCAGTGCTAAAAGTAAATGCCAAAGAATATACCTAGCTAGAAAAAGAATGGACTCTACCATACTGAAAAATGGTCCTACAGAAGTGGCGTCATCTATTGAGTAGGGCTTGTTTTAAATGGATCGAAGCGCGGGCTTTTTAAATGAGCGTATTTATTGAATTTTACTCTAAAATAATTGAATTTGATCATTAAATCTTATTTTTTACACAAATTCAACAATACCAATAACAAGTATCGTTGTGATGTGTAAAAAAATAAGATTTAACAGTACAACTTATATAATTATTAAATAAAATTAAAGCCAAACGTGTAAATATTATTTATTATTTAAAGTTTTTATTTATAAGTCAAATATTTAAACATCGTTTATTATAATAAAACAAGACCAACGTAATACGCCCAAAGTTTTGTAAATGGAGTAAATATAAATAGGTACTTAAATGATAAATATAAAATAAAAGACTTACATTATATTTTTAGGGCCACAAACAAAAGGAATTGTTTAATTAAAACACATACCTATAACAAAAATTATAGTTTGGGAAACGTTTTGATTTTGATAATCATTTGATAATATGGCGCTATGACAACGACAATATTTTTTGAGAATTTGACAATAATATGACAATGGCCGTTGGAAACTATGGAAACTACAAAAAGATTCTGATTTAACGCCATCTGGCAATAACTAGTAGCTAACTCGATTACGTAACTAAAAGTTTAATTGGTATTAAATATATTTTTGGAGTTTAACTTTGTAATTTAAATAAAATCAGCTAATAATAGGTTATTTTTTAGTATTAATACTTACATTCGGCTAGATCTTGTAACTGTTGGAATTCTTGAGGAGACAGCTTCTCCCATTGGAGAGATGCCATCTCGCGGTACGACGTCAGGATTAAGCCGAATTGTCCATCTTAAAAAAATAAATAAAATTAACAATAAATTCTAATTTTTTGAGAGGAAGGTAGTGCCACCTCTGCAAGTGCTCACAAGAACAAAAGTATGAAAAGAATGTATGTTGGGGCTTGTAGACAGTTTATTTAGTTAGTTTTTTTATTTTCTATGCGTTAGACTTTTTCCTAATACAGATTTTAAATTACAAAATGCATTTTAGAAACACTATGACTATACGGTTGTAGGTGCTATAAACTCAAACGTATCGGCACTCTACTCTACTACGAAAAAGCTAGCTGCGATAGCGCTGAAGTCATGATTACTAAATCCCGCTTAAGTGGGGCTGGTCACCTGGCGGACAACTCAAAAGCTACCAGGATATTTTCCACGAAAACTTAACGGGGATAAGCATGCAGAATCAGTGGGAGGAAGAAGCGCACAATAGAACGCAGTGGAGAAGAATTGTAAACTCAGTTCGTTAACTTTCTCTCCTCTTTACTTTTTGTATTTAGCCTATACAGCAGTAAAAACAACAGGGAAGCCAATATTTCGACAATTTAAAATTTGCATAGGATTTCCTATCTTTCCAACAACAATGTACCACCCGGTATAATGCTTTGTAGTAAAAAAGAATACTTTTAGCTTGTCCCCTGTATAATTCAAGCTATTTGCATAGGACCACGTCATCTATTGTTATTTAATCAACAATTAAGAACCAATTCTGGTAACCGTATGGTATATACCAAGTAAACAGAGACAATAAACAATAATATTAAACATTTCCGATACTTCATTATTTATTTTATTTGCATTCAGAGAATAATAGACGCAGGCCATTTTATTTGTTCGGCGTTATTTTTATCTATTATACCGTATATGAATAAAAATATAATCGGGAGAAGTAATAAGGTAGATTGTATGGGAGTCATACAGTCTCAGGGCTTTGACAAAAGCCAGTATCTGAGACGGTTTTACAGAGGTGAGTTCTCCGTCTCCGATATTAGTCGTAACAAAGTTTATGGCAAGAATGGTTTGAAATGGCGCACTCAGTGTTGAGGTATTCTGATGTTTCCCCATTTTCCCCAAAGACTCTGCATTTGCCGTTGTTTCTTACCTTTAATGTACTGAGGTGTTTATTGAGGAGACAGTGTCCTGTTAAAACCCCATGATAATCCGAAGATTGTTCTTATTTAAATCAAGGAAAATGTTTGATTTTTCTCGGTAGTAAGTCCTGAGAAATTTCTTCGAGTGTCTTACTACTACTACTACAGCCATTTCTCACTGACGAGTATTCAACACACATCAGAACTGTGACTGAAAAGCCCGATACGTGATTTTATCTGCCTACCGCAGTCCGGACATTCAAAAATCTCATTGCTTTGTTGCCTCGATCTTTACTTTTTGGTTGTCCTTGTCTTTTGGTTTTTGGTTGTCTTTTGGTTGTTAACTGAGTTTACAATTCTTCTCCATTGAGTTCTATTGTGAGCTGCTTCCTCCCACTCATTCTGTATTCCCCTTTAAGTTTTCGTGGAAAATATCCTTGTACCTTTTCAGTTGTCCACCCGGCCTCCTCTTACCGTCTACAAGCTCACCGTAAAGCAGAGATTTTGGTATGCGGTTTTCTTGCATTCTGCATACGTGACCAGCCTATCTTAAGCGGGATTTTGTAACCATGACTTCAATACTCTCGCAGTTAGCTTTTTCAAGGACCGATACGTTTGAGACATGATGGAATGCGTTCATGTGTCGGCGGTACGGCACCCAGGTTTCGCTCCCATATGGTGGGGATTATAATTGCTCGGTACACTGCAAGTTTCGTTTTTGTAGATCCTCGTTCGAGTGTCTTAGACCGTTGGAGGATTACGATTCCAGGTTACAGATGGGATCTACGATGCTCCAGCTCTATTTAACCGACGCGTGTTCGAAAGTACCCATTTCTATACTTTGGCGCTCCAATTTTTCGCTTTCGGTGCACTCCTGGAAAGTGAATGTTTTTTTGGTTTATATTTTATTGATTTCGGGGCTATTATTTGCGTCCAATAAAAGTTCATAAATAAATTTATAGTTTCTTTTTTGCGACGTCCGGATTTTGTCCGGATTTCAGAGTTCATTTATCCGGAATTTCCAAAAGCCTTTATGGAAACCCTATAGATACAGTGTGTTTCAAAAAACATGTGATATCTCTCGTGGGGATATTCCTCACGTAAAAATCAGATTTATTTTGCATATCAACATATATCTGCTTTGTTTCGTAGCTACAGGGTGAATAATCTTTCAATTTATTATAATTTTCTTTTAAGTACTTTTAGTGATTCGAACGAAACTCTGAGAGTAAAAGTAAAGTTACTATAAGGGCTACACATTTTAATGCTAAAAAAGTGTCGATAAATTCCACAGGGACGTGCATATGGGTTATCACTGCAACATTTTTCAATAAAAAAACGTGTGCGCTACTGACTTTTTTCTTTTTATAATCAAAATTGTATTGGCCATTTAATGCCAGTTAAAAGCTATCTCTTGATATTTTGTCGAATTCGGCCTCCTTGATGAGATAAAATAAAATTAAAATAAAAATAAAATTAATAAATTATATATTTCACCTAATTTATTATTAAATATTATTAATATTAGTTATTATGACTATTTGTCTAACCTACAGCAATTTCAAATAAAAAATAATAGTATTTACACAACAATTACAAAAAAACTAATTTTAAAAAGTTTTAACATCCTGTAACTCGAAAACTATGCATTTCCATATCCATGTTTATTGGAACTTTTTTCATATTTTTGATGAGGAATCAAAAAGTACCTACTTATTTAAAACGTTGTTGATATTAAAATATTTTTAAGGTTGCTATTAGACTTGAATTGGGACAAATTAATAAAATTGCGTTTATCTCACCAAGGAGGCCGAAATTGACAAAATATCAAGAGACAACTTTCAATCGGCATTACACTGCTTATACTATTTCGCTAACAAGAGAAAAAAGTCCGTGGCGTACATCCTGTTTTTAGAAAAACATTCCAGTGATAACCCATATGCACGTTCCTGGTGAAACAGTCGACACTTTTTCAGCATTAAAATATGTAGCACTAATAGTAACTTTTACCCTCCAAATTTCGTTCGAATCGTTAAAAGAACTTCGAAAAAATATTAAGACTTTAACACCCTGTAGCTACGAAACAAAGCAGAATCGGACCTATGTTGATATGAAAATTAAATCTTATTTTTACGTGAGGAATCTCCCCACGAGAGATGGCACATATTTTTTGAAACACCCTGTATACATCGTTAAAACATACAATAATAATGTTCCTGTAATATATCGTGATTGTGTTGGGAACAATGACTAAACTGTTAAATTTTTAATTTATTTTTGTACCGTTGTATGACGTTAAACCTATATTATGTATTACAAAAGGCACTCGCTTCTATTGTTTTTAAATTAACTATTAAACTACATATTAATAATAAATAAATTTCGCTTGGATTCACAATGAAGTGATTCATTTTATTGCTAGACATATACAGATACTCTTTATGTTTATTTAATGAAGAGGGAATAATATTTGATAAAATTGCAGTCTACTTTTAATGAATATAAAGGTCCGTCTACACTTAATATTTTACCTGTCAGGCTTCGTGCATTCTGCGCTGGTGACACACCATATAGTTTAGTATAGTGCTACATTTTGTAATAATGATTTTCATTTAAATTTCAAGGAGTACAATCTGAATATTCTCTGGCACAAATTGTGAGAATTACACACACTTGTTCGCGATTTTCGTATATAATCAAGCATATTTAACTATTTTGAAGATATACAAATTGATATAGAAATAAAAGCTACAACGTGATGCCTAGTACCATTTTAGACCCAAAATGCAGCAGTTTTTTTGCTACAATTGTGGGGTCTATTACAATTTGCTTTTATTCAACCACTAGCGTATACCCGCGACTTCGTCCGCGTCGAATTCACCATTTGTAATGGTGATGATAAAGCAAAGCAAGAATTTCCATTAACATACAAACTGGATAAAATTTTCTCACATTTATGTCAGCATGAGAAAAAACAATATGGCGAATTGACTTTCGAAAAATCCGTTTGCCAAAAATAAGCTTTTTACGTCAAGCAGTTTAAGCAGAATCGTGGTTAATCAATTACCCAACTTTCTAGAACACCCTGTATGATTTTTAAAAAAAATTCAAAATATGTAAAAAAACAAAATAAATTATGCGTGTCCAAGCGTTTTCCCGAAAGACTAACCGTTTTTTAAATAACAAATATTGTAATACAGTGGAGTTCGTATATAGTAAACCCGTTTATTGTGAACACTTGGTTATAATGAACGCTTTTTGTGTGAAATACATTAAAAAAGTCTTATAAGACCAATGTAAATTTTTACCGTTTATAGTGAACCCGGATACAATAAACTTTCGGATACAGTGAACTCGATTTCGTCAAGGATAAGAGACATTTTCCGTTTATAATGAACTTTTTCGATAATTCCCCCAGGTAATTCCCCGGGAGTGGTATTAACTTTTCTTAAGTGATATTAACTTTTCTAACAGACTTATACAAACCAAAATATCCGACTTGTTTATCAAAGAGTAGGTGGATACATGTATTTTTTGTAGTTTTTATTATTTATTGTTTACTTAGGTTAGGTATTGTACAGAATGTCATTTCTTTTCCACGTTTACTACATATACCGGGTGCGTCTCAAAAGTGGTTCACCCCTATAACTTCTTTATTTTTTTCAGATAAAAAAACGAGATTTGGTTGTTAGTATATGACATAAATTGGGATTGATTGGCACATTCAATTGTTTTTGGTCACTTCCTGTTTCACCGGAAATGCCTAAAACTTTTGATTTTTAAATGGCACCCTCGGTATTTTTTTATTTTATTCGATAGAAAATAATATTCTGAATAGAATGACATATCATATCTGAACTTTTGACATTCTCGCTTATTAAAAAATCGTATTTAATATTTCTATCTATTTCTATCC